CCCTCCATGTCCGGCCCGCGTGGCGGCGGGACGGCGTGTTGGCGGTGGGAGCGGCTCACCCGGCGGTGGCGCCGCGTGGCGTGGGCGGTGCACATCACGGTGTCGCATGCGCTCGCCGCCACCACCACCACCGGCAGCAGCGCGCCGACGTCGCATAAGCTCGTCCTCTTCCGCAGCAACGCGACGCATCATGAGCGCATCGTCCCGCGGCATGGGATGGTGGCGGGCGCTTGGCGGCGGCGGCAGCAGGTCGTCGTCGTCGTCATATGGCATCATGGCGCGGTGGTGAAAGCGTGATGGCGACAGTGACGCTGGGCGGCGGTAGGGGTCTCGGTCGCGTGGTGGCAGGCGCTCACGGCGGCCGGGTACGGGGCCTGCGCGTCCGCCACCACCACGTCGGTCCAGTGGTGGCGGCGGGTAGCGTGCAGCGTCCATGACAGGGTCGTAGCCATCGTCACGGCCATCGTCGTACACCCCGCGAAGCCGGCGTCCACCGCCACCTGGGGCGCGTGCGCGTGCCCGCCCGCCACCCCCTCCACGAGGCAGCATGCGCTCGTCCTCCCACAAGTGCTCGGGCCCGCGCTGCTCCCTGCGCCGGTCGCGGTCCTCGTTGCGTTCGTTGCGCGGCCGTCGGTGGTGGTGGTCGCCATCATCGTCGCCCGCACGCGAATGCGGCGACACCTTACGCCGGCCGAAGCGTGGCGAGAGGGAGCGGAAGCGCGACTTGCGGCGGGGCGCTGGGCTGTCCTCAGGCAGAGCATAGCGCTCGTAGCCTGCTGCCGCTCGCACACGGTTACCGCGGGCATGTTCATCAGCGTCATCATCATCGTCGTCGTCGTCATCATCATCAGCGCCGCTGCGCTTGCTTGCTTTGGTTGTGGCCTTTGACATGCGGCTGGCGCTGCGACGTTCTTCCTTCTCTTTTCGCTTTCGCTCCTTCTCCTTCTCCTTCTCCTTCTGCTTCTTTGTCTTCTTGCGCCCGCGGAAGAAGAAACTCCGCTTGCGCGCCACCGCATCCTCCTCCTCATCCTCATCCGATGATGATGATGACGACGATGCCGATGATGTTGTCTCCTCACCAGACAGCCGCACGTCGCCAGCACCAGCAACAACAGCACCATCGTCGTCGTCGTCGTCGTCGTCATCGAGAGCACTGCCGCCGCCGCTGCGTGATCGCATGCGATTGCGTCCTCTGCGGCCCTTTTTCCCAGCGCGCCGGCCACGTGGCGACGGCTGCGACAGCTGCGCCTCCAGACCACGCTGATCAAGTGCGCTCGCCTCGCGGGAACTCGACCGTCGCCGTTCGCGCCGCCGCCGCTCAACACGCCGCGCCTCTGCATCGAGCACGCCGCCATCATCGCCCTCGTCACCGCGGTCACGGTCCTCGTCGTCGGTGGTAGTGTAGTGCTCGGGGCGGTCCTGGTAGTGGTCTGGCAGTTTGCTGCGCTGGAACCCGGCGCTCGGGTCGTCGTCGTGCTCGAAGGGGAACACGGGACGCGCGCCTGGCACGCACGGGCAGGTCAGGGAGGAGGTAGAGGGGTGGGGAGGAGAAATTGTGATGGGGATTGGGGATGGGGAATGAACGACAAAGTTGCAAGTGCTGCGAGAGCAATTACACACACACACACACACACACACACACACACACACACACACACACACAGCCACGCAGACACAGACACGCAGACACACACTCACACAACACAAGCAAACACACACAAACAGAAACACACGCACCTGCGGGCAGTTTCTTCTTTGGGTGGCCGTGTGGCATTATGTCTTCAGAGTCAATGCCAAAGAGCTTGTCACTGGGGGTGCGGCGACTCGGGCTGTCCCCTCGTCGGTCCAAGCGCGGCCCGCGCCCAAACGCATCCCCGCCGTCGCCACCGTGTGCATCCACGTCCACGTCGTCCACAACAGCGTCGTCAAGCGCTGTGTGGCGGGAATTCATGGTGTCGCGACCGGCGCCGTTCATGTCCTCCTCGCCGCTGCCAGAAACGCTGGAAGTGTCTTCTAGAGACATGAAAGGGTGCAATGGTGACGCAGCCGTGATTGAGTGCAGGGTGATATGAGAGTGAGCGAGTGTGTATGGAAGTGTGTGTGTGTGTGTGTGGTGTGTGTGTGTGTGTGAGGCATGTACGAATGTGTGTGCGTATGTGAGTGCGTATTGTGTGTTGTGGAAGGAAGAACGGCGTGTAGAACAGAATGAGCAGAATGCAGGCGTGTGCTGTTCGGAGTTGCTCACCTCGGCGCGGTGGGGGCCCATCAACAAGGACAGATGTGCTGGCAGTGCGAAGAAGTTGGGAGTGCGGAGGAAAGGTGAGTAACGCATCAATGTCAGTGCAACAACAACAACAACAACAGCAACAACAACAACAACAGCAGGTGCCACCACCACCACCACCACCACCACCACAACAACAACAACAACAACAACAACAACAACAACAACAACAACAACAACAACAACAACAACAACAACAACAACAACAACAACAACAACAACAACAACAACAACCCTCAGCAACGTCGACATACCGGTCGACAAATATGGCGGCTGTATCCGATGCCTAGCGTGCGACATGCATGCGTGGTGCAATCAAGGTGAGGATGGATAACAAGCACAACTGCGCGTCCTGTGGGCGCTTCTGTGGACAGGAACGCGAGTCACCCACACGTTCTGCAAGCGAACACACATCGCACCCACTTGCTCCCCCGCTCCCGTTCCACGTTCACCTCCACCGTTGGACGCACCTTCATGTACTTGTTGAGGGCGCTGCCTCCGTAGTTGACAAGTGCGCCGACAACTTTGGAGAAGCGTGCCCGGTGCTCGTCCAGAACCTGCAGTTGAGCCATGCGGCGGGGAGGTGGAGCGAGTGTTGATTGGAATGGAACGTGAGAAGATAATGGTTGGGATGTCATGACGAATAGCGGAGGCAGCTGGCGCGGGGCCTGCACTGGGGCATGAGAAAGGAACACCGTGGGCATAAGCACGCACGCACACACACACACGCGCACACACACACACACAAACACAGACGTGTGTGTATTGTTGTGATACCTTCTCATAGAACGTGTCCAGAAAGTCCTGCAATGCCGTTTTGGAGTCTTCGACCACGCCGTGTTGCTGATGGATTGTTGTTTGATGTCGTTTGGGGGCAATATCAGCACAGGATCGAAGAGCAAACGCCCGCACAGCACATGTAAGCACGCAAAACAAAAACACACACACACACACACACACACACACACACACACACACACACACACACACACAAACGCACACACATGGGAGCGCAGTGACTGACATCAATGACGTCGGAATCTGTGCGATCATCTGTCGCCTTGCCGTGCTTCTTCTCCAGCTTTTGCAGCTTCTTTTCCTCCTTCTTGATTTCCTGTCACCATGTCACAGCACATTCACACACACACACACACACACACACACACAGACATTCGCACACACACACACACACACACACACACACAGACATTCGCACACACACACACACACACATTCGCACGGATGCAAGGTGTGAGTGGTGTGGAATGACTGCACGTGATACTCATTCGTTGACAGATGGAATTGGCGCGGCCGGCATACCTGTGTAGCTTTGGCCTTGCCCTCCTTCAGTTCTTTCTCCAGCGCCTGGCATTGGCGGGGCAGAGGAGGAGGAGGAGGGGTGAGTATGATGGTTGACGGTGGACGCCACAGAGGTGTTAGCACGCAAGCGTGTGCACTTATGCCACTCACGACAGAGAAACTAACACGCACACAAATGTTCGTGCACACAGAAACACACACACACACACACACACACACACACACACACACACACACACACACACACACACACACACACACGCAAATAAACAACCCACCAGCCAACCAAACACACACACCGATTGCGTCTTGGATGCGTCCTGCACGACGGCTTCGATTGCTGGGATCAGATCACTCTCCAGCACATCAACCTGGCGCAGCGAATCATGGCAGATTGTGAGATGAAAAAGTATGTTCCCTCAATGGCACGATGCGTGTGTGGTCAGTAGGCTGTGGTTGCAAAAGGGATGATGACCAGCACCGCAAGCATGGAAGACCTGGTTCCAGTGGAGTTGTTGGCACTTGCGGAGACACTCGCTGCCCTTGACCACAGCAGAGCCTATCATTTCACCATCGTGCACGAACATGACCCATGGACAGGGGGAAGGTGAGCTGAGCAACCGACACGGTGAGCAGAGACAGACAGACAGGCAGACAGACAGAGGGGCACAGGGACACACAGACAGGGGGGCAGAGGGGCACAGGGACAGACAGGCAGACAGACAGAGGGGCACAGGGACACACAGACAGGGAGGCAGAGGGGCACAGGGACAGACAGGCAGACAGACAGAGGGGCACAGGGACACACACACACACACACACACACACACACACACACACACACACACACACACACACACACACACACACACACACACACACACACAGAGGCAGACATGCACACACATACACATGCACACACTCTCTCATTGCATGCTTTGCACGTACGCATGTCTTTGACACGGCGTGGGCATTTGGGCGGAGGGCGCCCCAGCTCGCTAAGAGCTTCTTGCACGCGTGTCTCTGCAGCTTGGATGGCTGCAAGCGGAGGCAACAAATCAAAGGGAGCAACCAATCAAAGTGAGCAAGCAAGTGACGGACAGACAAGCAAGGAACAGACAAGCAAGGAAGATGGTGTGCCCGTTACCGTCGGTATCGACACGCACACACACACACACACACAGACGTACCTGCGATGGCTTTGATGTATTTTGAAACCTCTGCAGCCACCTTCTTGAACTTTGGCACCACGGTTTTCAACTCCTGTTGGTGTGCATGTCAGCAGGCAGCGCCTCGTTTGATCAGCGAATCACACATCATACAAACAAAGCACAACTGTCAAGCAACCACAACGCAAACACACACAACACAGCACACACACACACAACACAGTCCACACACATACACACACATATACACACGGCACACACGCGCACGCACACGTTTGACACATCGCACCGCACCCACTCACATCCAGTTGCGTGGCAATGTCACCCTCAACATCCAGATCTTGATGCTTGCCCATGGCGAACGCATGTGTTCTGCTGATGTAATGGCGCTGCTGACGTTGACGAGCAGGCAACGACGGGCAAAATCACCACCCGCCTGTACTGGTATCTTCCTCCAACTCTGCCGTCCTAGAGAGTGTTGTTGCTGTTGTTGTTGTTGTTGTTGTTGTTGTTGTTGTTGTTGTTGTTGTTGTTGTTGTTGTTGTTGTTGTTGGTGGTGGTGGTGGTGTCTTAGTGGTGGGTGCGTGCACGTTCCACTCCTCCCTCTCTTATCGTTGTTGTCGTTGTCGAGACGAACAAGAAGGTCTGTCTTTGTGGGAGGACAAGCACAGAAGCAAAGCAACACTTTTTTTCCGCTGTGTGGTGTGTGTGTTTTGGTTTTCGCACACAACTTTTTTTTTTTTGTTTTCGTGCCCCACCCCCTTTGCAAATTGCGCACAGCTGACAGCGGAGAGCAATTCGCAAAACCGATGTGTCAAGCAGCCACATCAAGAAGCAAGCACAGCCCAGTTACGCACACAACCCCACAACCACGGATTCTACTCACGCTGACACCAGTGACGCACAGCTGTGACTGAGCCGGACACAACACAACCAACCAGCGACGTACCGCGCAGTGGCCGCAAACGGAGTCATTTACATTCATCTCTTGATTCCCGCAACAACAACGTGAGCACACGCGCGTCGGCCAACAAAAAAGGCAACACCAAAATCAGCAGACAGATACAGCAACACAAACAAGCGACTGTCCGCAGCAGCTGTCCACAGAGACAACAACAACAACAGCCCCTTTGATCCAAAGGAGACAGAAAAATAGGCACAAGCCAACAAGCAAACAGAAAAAGGACGCCAAAGCCCGCACAGAAGGGAACCAAGAGAACCAGAGAACAGGCAAGCACGCAAAGATGGCTCAGAAGATGCCTCAGAAGCAGCAGTGTTTTGTTTGGAAGACATTTGGGCTCTGCGCAGGACAGGCAGAAACGGGGACCCACCGCTGCCACCATCTGCACGATCCGGCAGTCAAGGGCGTGTGGCTTGAGCAGGCTCGCGCGTATCTGCCGCACGCGTACCGCTATGGCAAGTATCGTCCTTCCTTCGAGGACTTGAAGCAGGCTGCTGCCCAGCAGCCGTCCATTTCCAAATCACAGCCCAACACCCACGTCCGGCGGCTCCTCAACGAGAAGAACCAGACGCCAGCCCACTTCTTGATCGACATCCTCGTGCTGCAAGACTTCTACGTGAAGCGAGAGGCTGAGGACGTTGTCAATTTTGCCATCCAACACCGACGCAAGCTGGAGACGAACAACCAGAAACGGGCAAACTTCTACAACGCGCTGCGCTACTGCACATACTGTTCCATCGTCCACATGCCCTATGGTGTACTCCCGGGCATCGACGCGACCATTGCGTCGACTGTAGCCTCCGCGGCCGTGAGCCGTGTCAACTCTGGTGTTGCGCCGCTGCCGCATGGTGCGCCGCCACTGCCGGCGGAGCATGTGCAGCCCGGAGGTGGTGTGGCTGCGCCCGACGCTGCGTGGTGCTGCATCTGGTATGTGTTTGGCGCGTGCTGGGGTGCTCGGCTTCCAGAACACGACGATATCCGGTGCCGCTTTGAGCACGGCGACGAGGTGTACCAGCGGTCTATCCTGGTGGCATACGAGAGCGACCCAGATGTGCGCAGCGACCTCAAGCGCGTTGTGCGTGCCGTGCCTTTCCACCGCGTGTTTGCGGAGATTATGGAACTTGCCCAGAACGAGCAGGAGGAGGTCACCACGACCCTCATCACCGTTGTCCGTGAAGCCATGGACATGCTACGCAATACGGCCGCGCAGACCATGAAGGCCCTTGACGAGCGTGAGGCTTTTGACGAGTACCAGGCACTGGCGTTCCGCGCATGCCTGGATGCCGGGTTTCCTGCAATCAAGCTCAAGAGTGCACCCGGCCCTCACGTTGTGGTCCACGACGACGACGACGATGGTGACGGTGAAGATGACGACGTCGACGATCGCGGTGTTGGTCATGGTCGCGGTGGTGGTCGCGGTGGTGGTCGTGGTAATGGTGGTCGAGGTGGTTGTCGTGGTAATGGTGGTCGAGGTGGTGGTCGAGGTGGTGGTCGTGGTAATGGTGGTCGAGGTGGTGGTCGAGGTGGCGGTGGTCACGGCCAGCGAGATGAGCGACCGTCGTGTCCTGTGTGGCAGGTGCTGCGCTACTGCCCAAACCGCAGCCACTACCACAAGACGCCGTGCAACTTCTTCCACCCGTACGTCAACTGCACCAAAGCCTCCGACCACAGCGCTCTGCTGTGCTCATTTGGCCACAAGGAGAAGAACGGCCTCTCGCACGATCAGTGGAGGCGGCTTGTGCAGGCGCTGTATGGGCGAGACGCGACGCAGCTGCACATGCACCACAGCGCCGTACGCACAGCCATGCAGCAGAAGGGGCGCACCCTTAGCACCATGCTCATGGACATTGTGAGGGAGGCCGACCAGCTGCGCATGCGCTACGGCGACAACATGGGCCTGTACAAGCAACGCATGACGCAGCACTACGGGAACCGGTCCCTCACGTACGAGGACTTTGTCAACATCTTTGCCATCACACTCAACGCGGGCAACGCCGCGACTGTGCCGCGCTTCCTCACCCGCGCACCCCAGGCGAAGAAGAGCACCTACAGCAACCACGGTGCTGCCGATGATGATGATGATGATGATGATGATGATGACATGGCAACGGCCGTGCACGTGGGCGGAGGTGACGAGGACATGCACACCATGGTGCATGGCGGGAAGAGCACCAGCGCTGACAGCGGCGACTCCGCCACGTTGGTGGATGGACGCAAGGGCAGCTACCCCTACGATGATGATGATGACGACAACAGCGATGGCTGTGGCGGTGGCGTTGAAGATGAGGGCGCCGCGCCGCACATGAGCGGGCTGTTCCACGGGACGCAGCTGGACGTGTGCTTCCTTCTCGATGCCACCGGAGGCATGGAGCCGTACTTTGCGGGCGTGCTGGCAGCCATGCAGCGCACAGCACAGGAGCTGCACGCCACGCACGGCGCTGGCGAAGACACGGGCGCGGTGCGGTTTGCACTCGTTGCCTACCGCGACAAGACACACCTGGCGGACGACCGGCCCGAAGTTGTGCACTTTACGCCCAACCTGGACGCGTTTCTGTTGCGCCTGAAGATGGTGCACCCCCAGGGCGGCGCCGACTATGTGGAGGACGTGCGCGCGGGCCTGCAGTGCGTGCACGATCGCCTTGAGTTTCGCCGCGAGGCCACGCGCGTTGTGCTGCACATTGCCGATGCGCCGTGCCACGGCCGCCTCTTCTACCACGACCTGGTCGACAGCTTCCCTGACGAGGACCCTGAGCGTGTGCTTGGGCTCGTGCGGTGGCTGGCCAAGGAGCAGATTGAGTATGTGTTCGGCGGCATCAGGGACCCGCAGGAACGCGACAAGCACCCGTTCTCCACGCGCAAGATGTTTGATGAGTTTGACGCTGCGTACGCGGGTGCGAGCGCGACGGGCCGGCGCATGACGTGGGTGGACACGAGCGAGCCCGCGGCACTGCTGCAGGTCCTGCATCAGATCATGGCGTCAAGCATCTCCACATCAACAAAGCTCGCCGAGGACTTTGACAAGCAGCTGTCCCTCGGCAGCGGCCCTGCTGCACATCGCCCGCGCCAGCATCAGCACCAGCCGCAGCGGCAGCGGCGTGTGGACATGCAGCCCGGTGCCATCATGTGGGGCACGGTGCCGGCCATGTCCGAGTGCACCACGACGTCGCTGAAGCTGCAGTGTGATTTCGCGAACATGCCCAACCTCAAGGCAGACATGTTTGCCGAGGAGACGCGTGCGAAGCGTCGGATGCAGTTGTACCCGCTTGCCTTCAACAAGGGCACGTTCCGTGTTGTGCACCGCGCGCGTGCGCTGTTTGCGTCCGGCAGCACCAAGCTCGTGGTGGTGAAGCGGCCCATCTTCATCGTGCCTGCGCAGCGCGAGCGGGAGCTGTGTCTCGGGGAGATGCGCGAGCAGACGGTGGCGCAAAAGCTTGCCCTCGAGTTTATGAAGGAGTTGAAGCGTGCGGGCATTGCCACGGGGATGCAGAGGTTGAAGCTGGTGTTTGCCAAGCCAAACCTGGTGGAGGTGAAGGGCGCACACCGCTACCACGAGGCGCTGCGAGCGCTTGCGCCGCACATGGAGGTGGGCGACCTGAACGGGTGCTGGGTGATGGAGAAGCAGATGATCAACGGCAACTACACCAAGTACTCGAACAACGCCGGCAAGGTGAACCATGCAGACACACCGGAGGGCATGGTGGTGCACGCGTTCAGCCACTGGACGCACGCGCGGACCAGGGGCCGGTTCATGGTGGTGGACCTGCAGGGCACATGCACGGAGATGGGCATCTTCCTTACAGACCCTGTGGTGCACGACTCGAGGAACAAGGAGTTTGGACGCCTGTTCAGTGCGGGCGATCGCGGTGCCCGCGGCATTCGCGATTTCTTCAGGACGCACAAGTGCAACCACATCTGCCGCGGCCTCCAGCTCAGGAAGCCCGCGCTTTAGGGGCTTTGTTTGGACGGTTGTGATTGTGTGATTGTGGTTGTGATTGTGGTTGTGGTTGTGATTGTGGTTGTGATTGTGTGATTGCGTGTGATTGCGGTTGTGTGATTGTGGTTGTGCGTGTGTGAGATTGTGTGTGATTGTGGTTGTGATTGTGATTGTCAACTGCTTGACTTCCTACCGATCTGCTCGTTGTGTTACAATTCCTAATGTCGCGTCATGTTACATGCATTGTGACGCAGAAGGTCGATGATTGTGTATGTTTTCTGTCTTTCCTTTTGTCTTTCCTTTTGCTCTTGTTTGCTTCGCCTTCTGTCTTGCTTTCTTAACTTGCCTCTTTTATCATTTGGTTGATGATGGGAGTGTGTGTGTTGACAGCGGGGTTCGTTTGGGAGGGGAACCTTGCTTTTGGTTTCTGTTGCATTGCGTGTCACGTTAACAAAAAGCCCTCCCTCAAAATCAAACGTGAATGTCACAAGTGAAGGAACTAGCAATGGTGCGTGTGTGTGTGTGTGGGGGGGGGGGCGGGGAGGTGAAGAGGAGAGGACGACAAGGACAACAGCGGCAGTGACCCAACGCACACATGTACACATGGAAACATGAACCTACACACAGACACACACACACATGTGGAGACACAGGTATCAGTGCAAGGCAGCGCGAATGTGGTCTGGGTGTGTGAGGAAGGAGGACAGGGGCATTGGGTCAATGCCAGCGGCTGTCATGGCTGCGCAAAACCATTGTCGTTGTTGATGTTAAAGTGGTTGATTGAAAGGTGGGGAATGAGTGAACAGAGCATCCATGTGTTGTCACGATGGCAAGTCGAGTGCAGGCAACAAACACACACACCCACACCCACACCCACACCCACACCCACACCCACACCCACACCCACACACACACCCACACACACCCACACATATGCACACACACACATGGGCAGATACCAACAGCAGTAGCAGTGTACCTTTGGCATATGCCTGATACTTGGCGGCGATGCGCGGGTGTGTGCGTGTGAGCGTGTTCACATCGTCACGCGTGCTTGATGGGGGCGCTCGGTCAACGGTGATCAGCTTCACGTCTCCTTCCTGCCATGGTGCGCATGGGATCACAATGACAGCGGTGGTGATGATTCAGGTGTGGATTCATTGTGATGTGATGTCAGCCCGTGCATTGCGACACAAACCAAACATGACAAACAATGCGACAATTCTCATCCTCTTCCCTGCATGTGCAAGCAACGAAACAAGCTCAAACACACACACATACATACATACACGCACACAGAAACACAGGCACACGCACACATACACACAGGCACACGCACAGATACACACCTCAAGAGCCTCCTGTTCAATGCTGTCAAAGGACTCTTGTAATTGCTTCAGAAAGTCGCCGCCTTTTCGCATCCGAAACCACGATGACGATGATGATGATGAGCCTGCCGCTTGTTTTGCGCGGGTGTTTCGCTTGCGTGTTCCTGTGGTGCCGCGTCTCTTGCCCTGTCTCTTCCGCTGTTTTGTTTGGACGCTACTCTCACGGGCACCACCACCATCACCATCACCATCGCCATCATCATCTGTACCATCGTGTGGCGACAGCAACGCGCACGGTACAGATGCATGGCCGCCAACACCACGCTCGTTCTCAGCTGAGTGTGATGGCGAGGAAGACGAAGATGAGGAGGACGGGTGCGACACGGAACCGGAACAGTCTCTCGCTGCCGCCGTTGCTTCTGCGGCTGTTGTTGCGAGGGATGGTGATGATGATGATGATGAGAAAACGGCCATGTCTTCAGACGCATCACTCATGTCATCGTCATCAGGTTGTCTGGCGCCCTGCACATCAGCCTCCTCAGCACTGTGACTGCTGTTGGCGGGCGTGTGCCTTGTGCTTTGGGTGTGCAAGCGGCGTGATCGCGACCGTGCTGCGGGCACCGTGGTCCTGTGCCGCTGCCGTCGGCCGCCGTACGGGTGTGTGCGAGGTGCAAGCACCCACGCAGGAACATTTGTGGCAGCAGTAGCAGCAGCACCAGCGATGGCGGTGGTGCTTGCCTTGAGCGTCTTGCACGCCATGCTGGACACGGTTGAAGCTGCGGTGTTGTGACCACCCCACAGCCGCGAGCCAAGTAGTGATGGAAGCACAGGCTCCATTGGATCAGCGGCATGCGCGTGCATTGAGTGTAAGGGCTGGGAGCGACTGCGAGGCAAGCTCTTCCGGGATTGTTGCAGATCGGGGGCTGTGTTGTGTCCTGTTTCACTCAGTGTGCGATCAACACCAGCCATCCCACCGGTTTCACCACCTTCATCATCCGTGTTCGGGTTGGCGCCGTTCTCATTCTCGTCCTCACAGGCATCATCGTCCCCATCTTCGTCGTCGCACAGCATGATTGGGTTGAGGCGGGTGATGGACGATCGCCGCGAGAAGCGGGACGCTGACCGGCTCAGGGGCAGTCGGTGGCGGCGAGTCCGTTGCGAGGCCACAGCGGACGACGGGCGCGATGGCGATGGCGTGGCTGCCTTGGAGGATGCGTAAGGTACAGCAGCAGCAGCAGCAGCAGCAGCAGCAGTGGTTGATGCATGGGTTGACCTCAACCGCGAAGGTGGAGGCGGCGGCTCGTCCCCAGTGAAGAGGTGCTCGATATCCACTGCGTGAACGTGATCAGCGACACTGAATGTCGCACGCTGGGCTGCCAGTGCAGCCTTTCTCCTTGCTGCGGTTGTTCGTGTGGTGATTGCCGCTGTACGTTGCGGAGTACCGGTGGCTGCTTGTGGTGTATGAGTGGAGGCTGCTTCTGGGTCGTGTTTGCTCGCACCATTCCGTCTCCCTGCGCCGTCACCAGCGGGATCATCAATAGCGGGATCGGGATCATCGTTATCATCATCATCTTCATTGCTTGTTCGCTGGGTGTCTGCAGCTGTTCCAGTGACGGTACGGTGGTGCTTCGTGCTGCCACCAGTGCGGCGGCGACTGCGCGGCGGCTGGTGCTTCGTGCTGCCACGCTTCTTCCTTCCGTCACGACTTCTGCCCTCATCCTCTTCCGCGACAACCTTGCTCTGGTTTGGTGCGGGGGAAGGGGAAGCAGGGACGATCTCCTCAAGCAAGTCGACCTCCTCCAAGCTTGCAAAGTACTTCTTGAGCCGGTCCAGCTCCGCCTGCCTTCGCTGCTCCGCTGCCGTTGTGCCTGCAGCAGCTGGTGATGCAGTGGATGCAAGTCGTGCTGTTGTTGTTGTGGCGCTTGTGCGCATCGTGGCGGTCGTCGCGGCTGTTTCGAAAAAATGGCGCCAGCCAACGACAAGGGGAAAGCGACACCATGAATTAAGGGCATCGTTGCTCTGTCTGCGAGTTGAGCTGTGGGTGCTGTTGGGTGCTGTTGGGTGTGCTTGGTTGGCGGTTGTCTACGGGATGCTTGGTTGCCTCCCCTCATCACACGCCCTCTCACATCACATCACATCAGCACATCCTGTTCGTGACATCAGAGGTACGGTCTATTGTGGTGCTCCGAGTACGAAAGCGGGGAGCGTGGCACATCATTCAGTCGTTCTGTCATTCATTAGGAAGAAAGGGTCGGTCAAATCAGGAAGGTGATTGATACAAAGCGTGTGTCGCGCTCGCACAAGGAAAGGGCGGCAGCCATCAGAAGGAAGAACAAGAACAAGAAATGGGAGAGGGGAACCGGGGGGCAAGCAAAGAGGAAACAACGTCTTTGTGCCACATTGTACGAAACACAATGGACATGACAAGGAACAACGAGGTTTCGCGCCTCACATGAAACACGCACAGTTGTACGTGCATTGACGCTTCACGACACCACACTTATGCTTCACACACAGTTGTACGTGCATTGACACTACACGACACCACACTTACGCTTCACACACACATACACGCAGACACCAAAAGCAACAACAAAAAAAAAAAGAGAAAGAAAGTCAAGCAAGCAGGCTCAGTGCTTCTTGGCGAGGGGCGTCGTGTCCGGGATGTCAACAGGGGAGGACGCCGAGGAGGAGTACGAGTCATCCAGGTTGACAAAGGTGGCGTTGGTCACGTAGGCGCCGGGCGTGACATCCTTGGACCACTCCAGCGGGCCAACCTGGTACATGTTGCGGCGGCGGCGGCGAACCACGTGGCACGCGAGCATGACAATGGCGGCGAGGAACGTGGCCGCGCCAACGGCACAGCCAATGTACGCCATGTTCTGCGACCACCACGACTGGTCGTCCGAGGAGGAATCGTCCCAGGGGTTGCCCATGTCCATGACGCTGCTGAGCTGGGAGCTGAGCTGAAACATGAGGATGGTCTGCGCATCTTCCGCTGTCGCGCCCTCGACAACTTCATACTCAATGGTCTGGCAGGCGGGGGTCTGCCAGGGCTGGTACCACACCGTGGCAACAATCTGTGCCGGCGGCGCCTCCGACTGCATGAGGAGAGCCCGGCACACGTAGTTGATGGCCTGCTCCTTGGTCCTGAAGCCCTCGGGCGGGATGGGCACTTGGTCCTGGCTGGGTGCAGGTGGCAGCGGGTGGTCGGGAAGGCGGGGGCGGTGCTTGTGGTGGTCCTCGTCATCATGATCGTGGTCCTCGTCGTCATGATCGCGGTGCTCGCCTTCGTCGTGGTCGTGGTCGTGATCATCGTGGTCGTGATCATCGTGGTCGTGTTCGTCGTCGTGATCATCATCGCGACGGCGGCGGCGGTTGCCTGATGAAGCGTGCAGGGGCATCATCAGAGGGGCCTGCTCGGCAATGTCGCGGCAGTAGCCCATCCAGGTCACGGAGGCGTGGATGCGGTACTTCACGCCCGCCACAACCTGCGACTCAACACGCGACACGTTTTGGATGATTGGGACCATGGACAGGCTCTTCGCGTCGTATGTCATCTTGTCCACGATGCATTGCAGGCTGCCCTGAATGGCCTCATCGCTCAGGTCAAAGTCAACAATGTCGTGGAAACCGCCAACCTTGCTGCCACCAGCAGTGGTTGTGGTTGTGGTCGTTGTCGTCGCGGCTGTGGTTGTTGTTGTTGTCGTTGTCGTTGTCGTCGTTGTTGTTGTTGTCGTGGCATCTGTTTGGGTGCCTATGAAGTGGGGAAAAAGGCAGAAGGGAGTCAGACAATGTGTGAGGCAGATAAGATGGAGTGCGGTGGACAGACAGAGGCGAGGGGGAGAGGCATCATACGCTCCCTTCTCCAACAACAACAACAACAACAACAACAACAACAACAACAACAACAACAACAACAACAACAACAACAACAACAACAACAACAACAAACAACAACAACAACAACAACAACAACAAACAACAACAACAACAACAACAAC